TTAAAGTGGAAGCATTTAAAGATCATGAAATTTGTCATGTTTGAATTTGGAAACTAGTGTGACTTTGGAGTGTCACAGATGCGTTTTCAGCCCAGTGCCATTCGCCACCTCCTCTCCTTACACCCAAAAGCGTCTTCTCCTTTCTCCTTCTCCTTTTCTTTTGAAGGATACAGCTGTGCCCCCTCACCCAGGGTCTCAATGACGGGGCCCCACGGACACACGGGCAGAAGGTCAGGTGCTCCCTCCCACTCATCCCCCGCCCGCGTGGCTCACGTCATTTCATCCCATGGTCACAGAGGGGTGAGCACAGGACCAGAAGGCGTTTCCAGAGCCAGAGGCCACATTCATACAACTTTTGTCACCACACATGGTGACAGCTGTCCTGTGGCATCCGTGGTTCCTGACACTCCCTCGCTGTGCCCCGTTCATCACTGGCACCTGACCGCGGGTGCGTGTGTGTGGAGAGGAGCGCACGGTGTGTGCGGGCGCCGCTCTGCCCTCGGCTTCCGGGGTCCACGGGGTCTGCGATGGATCCCCCCCAGAGAAGAGGGTGCTCCTGTATTTTGTGCCCTTCTGAGAAATTCCCACCAGATTTCACAGCGAGCTGCCTGCTTCCCTCGGGACAGGGTGCTGAATGCCAGCCAGAGCGCCCTGGTGAATAGATCTAAGGCCAAGCAGAGGGCCAGGTCAGGTCCCTGCGTGGCACCCCACGGACAGGAAGGATGTCACAGGCGGGTGGCCTCAGCCTCCTGACTTTTCTACCCTCAGAGCCCGATGTGTTGGAAGATTGCTTTCCTACCCATAACCAATACAAACAAGCAGTTATTATGTTACTAAGTAATTAACTCCCTTCCCCACTTTTTATTAATCAGAGACACAGGCCTCACACGGCAGGAATGATCTTTTGCCCCCAAGACAGAGGGATGTCGGTCTGGGCCAACTATTGCTGGACAAGACATTTTCCATCACACAGCAAAACCCTATCTTGTGGCAGCTGTAGAAAGGAAAGGGTGTTTGGTGACTCTTGAAACAGAAAGGTCCGGATTTTGGCTTTAGGCACGGTTGGATCCAGGCACTCAGACAAGAGCACCAGGAAGCAGCCTCTTCCCAGCTTTTGATGAGGCTTCCCTCTGCCTTGGCCTCACCAGCTATGCTCCCTCCAGGGGACAGCCTGGGAGGAGACAGCCTTGGAGGCCACCAGGCCAGCTACACGGGGGGCAGGAAGGAGAGAGGGCTAGGTGTTCCCGTGGGATACCTGGCCTCAGTCCCAGCCTCCACACAGACCCGCCGGGCAGGCTGGGGCAGTCTCCTTCCCCAGGTTTCAGTTTCCCTCCAAACACGCTTCCTGCCTGGCCATGGGCAACTGGGCATTGGGACTGCCATTTCCACAGCCCACCTTGCCTCCTCTCCCTTCTCTCCCCTACTTGCTGGCTTGGCAGGGGTGACTTTCCCGGCTCCTCATGCCTGCCCAGCAGAGAACAGACAGCCGATGCTCAGTACATGCTTTGTACGTGCGAGCTGAGGTCCCAGGACCCCTTCTAGGCAGCACTGTCCCCGTGCTGCCCAGAGGAGAACGCAGTGGAATGGAGGGATGGAGTCCTAGCCCCTACTGCCTGCTGGGTTGAGGGTGAGCCTCCCAGCCTCTGGAGCCCCAGCTCCAGCATCTGCTGAGTGGGGAATGTGAGTGCCCCTCGTGGGCTGCCTGTGAGGACAGAGGGTGCTGCAGCAAGTGCTGGTGGAAAGGTTCTTTGCACCCACGGGCCCAGCCACGAGCATGAGCATGGGATGGGGGTGGAGGAGGACAGATAGCCCCGTGGCTGCCCCACATGGCAGAGCTCCAGAGGCCTGCCTGAGAGACCCCAGCCATCCCTTGTTGTGGCCCTGGCCCCCCCAAAGGAAACATTGGGTAACCTGGCCTTTTGTAGAAAGATGGCCTGTGCCAGCATGGCGCCCTGAAAACGTGGAGTCTTCATCCCAGCCTGGGGGGGACCCTCACCCAGCATATGCCCAGAATCAGGGCACTGCTTCTCCTGCGGGCTCTTCCTTGGGGCCCCAGGCTTGGTCCCCACTGCCTCGTGGAACACCCCAACGCTGGGGTCCACGAATATTTGTGAGATGAATGAGTGAAATGTCACCTCCTCACACAGGCCCACCCCACCTTCCTAATGAGCCAGGCCACCCCTCCTCTCCCCCTGCCCCTCTGATACCCCGTGGGAATGACCCTGCTCATCAGCTGGCTGTGGATCGGCCTCCCAGGGCCTGGCACACAGTAGGTGCTCAATAAACAACAGCTGCTGGTGTGGGTAGCCCCCCCACAGAAGCTGCCGCTTTTGCCCTGGGCCCGCTGGCTCTGTCTCTCCCCCCAGCGCATCCAATCCGAGGAGAAAGGCCCCCTGGGCATGTTTGTTTGCTGCAGGACTCAGGCCCAATAGACTCAGTGTCTTTCTTCTCTCCTCCTCCATCCTCATGAAGGAGCTGGGGAGCGGCAGTTTCCAGAGATTGAAGACAAAATTGCTTGAAAGCCTGAGCTTTTATCCTCCAATTTGTAGCCATTTAGCAGGGCTGGGCGGAGGGGCAGCCCAGGCTCTGGCTGTGCCATTGGCACGGAGGCGCCCACCACCGCAGAGAACTGCTCCTTTGTCCTTCCCCAGACAGCTCTGGGCCGCGGGGACGGACACCCGCCAGGAGGCCAGGCCAGGTCCTGCAGGGCCAGCAGGGCAGCCACTGGCAGTGCCGCAGGGCGTGCTGAGCTCTGGGCCCTGCAGGCGGTGATGCCCACGGTCTCTGCCACCACTTCTCCTGCTGCCCCCGCTCTGACCTCTGCCCATGGTGGTGCCCAGCCCCCAGAGGGGAGCCTCCAGGCTCACCCCTCCCTCTGGCCACTAAGGAGGGGGACAGGAAAGAAGAGCAACCTGCCTCGGCCAGAGGGGTCCCTTGCGGTGGAAAGAGAGAGGGTGCAGGGAAAGTGATGCCACGTTAGGATTCTGGAGGAGATTTTCTGGGGCTTTGGGGAAATGAAGGTGCAGACAGAGCTGTGGGGTGGAGAAAGGCTTTTAAATGTTGCTGGGAACACAGCTTCGCTCTGCAGTGGTGAGAAGCAGAGTTTGCTGACCTGTGTCTGGAGGGTGGAGGGAGTGGCGCCTGGCTGTCAGAGAGCATCACGAGACAGGCTCTGTCTGAAGTCCTGCAGAAGCAGGGCCTACGTGGTGGGGAGAGAACGTGAAGTCGGGGAGGAAGCGCTCTAGTGGCTGGAAAGGAAGGAAGGCTTCCTGGAGGAGGTGGCTTCTTACCCACCCAAGTTCGAATCTCTCTTAAGTTGTGCTGGTCTTGTCCCTTCTCCAAGTGGACTCTGAACACCTGGGGCAGGACCAGCGTCTGCCCCCTCGGTGGAAGCTGCAGCGACAGGTGGTTCATCGGACCCACGCTCATCCAGCAGCATCGTCTCCTCTCTGTCCCCATCTGCTGCCCTCAGTCCCAACTCCAGGCCTTTGCCTAGGACCGGTCCTCTATCCAAGGTGCCTCCCTCCTGGGGCCCGTCTCTTCCCCTCCACCCCTCAAGCTCAGCTCTAGTCCTCACGCCTCCTGGAAGCTCCCCAGGTAGAAGATCACAGCCAAGACAGATGAAAACCCTGGTCCTGGGGGTGGGCAGGCTGCGCCGGGCTGGGGGTGGGGGTCATATTCTCAAGGCTGGAGTGAGCCCCTCCTAGCACTGTGCCATCCTCCTGAACAGGTGTGCATGGGTCAGGACACTGCTGGGGCCCATGTCCCCGATCAGCATCAAACCTAATGTGACAGGCCAAGCCAGCCTTTGCTGCCCACCTGCTCCTCATGCCCTGCCGAGCGGTCTCGTATCTCCCTGGGGTCCCGACTGATGTACAGGAGCTCAGCCCACACCGCTCCCCAAGAAGTCCTCTGGAATCAGCACCAATAAAAAAATACGCTTTACTGTGGGCCTCAGAGTCTGCAAGATAGCGCGGGGACACGCAGGGGGCGGGGCATGCGAGCGCCGACGGTGCGTGGGACATGGCGAATGGCCCCTCCCCTGGGCATGCCCCGGGACCCTGGTCTCTTTGGGCTGCCCTCAAGCCTCGGGAGCCTCAGGGCCCGGCCAGTCCCTCCCAGCCGCCAGCCCCAGGAGGCTGGTCGAGCAGATGGAGCGGGAGGGGCCGTCTTCCGGGCAAGCTCGCGTCCAGCGCTCCGGCCGCTCTCAGAGCTGCCAGGCAGGGCCCAGCACCCCGAGCCCGGGGGCGGGCTGGGCAGACGCAGCTGGCGCAGCTCAGCCGGAAGCAGCAGCACGAGGAAGGAGGGCGTGGGAGCCCACACCTGCCAATCCAGCCCTGAGCTCCCAGCAATTTTGTCTCTCTTGATTAAACAGCCAAGGAACATGGGGTGCACGGACGTGTTTTCTTCTTCGTTTTCCTGAAACACCCAGAATGGAAGAGCGGAGAACGGCCGCGAGGTTCCCGGGGGCACTTGACACTTTGGGGGCAGAGGGAGTTGTTAGAATGAGGGATGATGGAGCTGGCGCCTGGGCTTAAGCAGGGGACAGACAGCAGCAGAGCCGACGGCCCAGGCTTGTTGACAGGGGGTGGGGGGTGTAGTGTGCAGGTGTGTGCATGTGCGGGGCGGACTGCAGCGTCACGGGGCACGGAGCACACACCATCACTTGCTTTGGGAAGAACACCAAGCAGTAACTGTGCAAAGGGTGGGCGCCACTGGCCATCAGACCGTCTGTGGAGGGTGGGCAGCAGGGCTGGGACGGCCCCTCCTGGGGTGGAGCCAGGGTCTGGGTGGCAGGGCAGGCGTCCACATTCTGCTCAGACAGCGAGGGCCTCTCCGGCCAGCCCACTGAGCTGCCCCGCCATGGGCAGGTGGTCTAAGAGAGGCTGCCGTGGCATTTCAGGTGGGCTGAAGACAAGGTGTAGCTCCCACCTGGGGGACAGCCGGGGCAGCCAGGTGGGAGATGGTGGGGCCGGCTGCCAAGGGGTGGGGGGGCAGAGCCTCAAGCGGGAGTGGCAGTGGGAGGGCCCTGTCCCGGCCTCCCAGGTGCCCAGGAAGCCCGCTCACTTCCAGCAGCGCTCCAGGGAGCTATGGGGCTGCACCTTAAGCTTCTGGGGGCAGAGCAGCTTGGTGAAGGCTCGTCGGAAACTGTAGTGGCACAGCGGGTAGAGGACAGGGTTGACGGCGGAGTTGGCCCACAGCAGCCAGAAGGATGTCTCATACCAGTAGTCAGGGACGCAGTGGCCATGGCAGGCGGCCCGGATAATCATCAGGAGTGTGTACGGGGCCCAGCAGAGCCCGAAGATGCTCACGATGACGGCCAGCGACTTGGCCACCTTCTTGTCCCGCGACAGCCGGAAGCGCTGGGTGATGCTCTGGGACACCATCTTCATGCGCTTCTCCAGGGACGCAGAGGACGCCGAGGGCTTAGAGCCCCGCTTGAGCGAGCGCGGCCGCTCTGTGCCCCGGGAGGAGCTGCCGGAGCTGGAGGTGGGCGAGGCCGCGGCGCCCCCACCGCTGCCGCCCCCGAGGGCCACCTCCCCGGCCTCAGTGCCAGGGGCTGCCTCGCCCACCCCGACCCCATACCTATGCAGCGGCATGGCCTCCCCTCGACCCTTGTGCCAGCAGCCCCAGCAGCCGGGCGCAGCCGCTGGGGGCGAGGACTGGGCATCAGGTGCGGGCTCGGGGTCCCGCACCCCATCCAGCCGGACGCGGGTGCGCCTCTGGATGTTCAGGTAGATGCTCAGGTTGAAGAAAGTGACGCTGAGGAAGGGCGTGAAGAACTCAAGTGTGGAGGCCGTGATGAGGAAGTACCAGTTGTAGAAGAACTCGGCATAGCAGTGGCCCTCTGGGATGGAGCTGCCCCCCGACAGGTACTCCCAGCTCAGGATGGCAGGCCCGTACAGCAGGAAGGCCAGGACCCACACCAGCACCATCTTCTGCACCGCCCGCCGTGTGTCGCCCTGCTGGGCCCGGTAGGACACCTGCCGTGGGAGACATTGGGTCAGGAGGGAAGGGCACCGGGCCCAGGGGGCAGCCTCTGTGGTGCTGGGAGCATCCCCCCACCGCCCACCAGCAGCCTCTGGGCCTCTGTGCATGGCCTCCCTCCCCTCCCTGCATGGATCCTGGGCTGGCGGATGCCCTGGCCCACTCCCCTATGGTCAGAGAGCCTCCCTACCCACCACGAGTGCTCCCTCTGGGTCAGGCCATCCGGCAGTGAGGGTCCTGAGGCTATCTTGCCATTGCGCCCTGTCCACTGAGCACCCACTGGGAGCTCAGCACTCAGCACTTTTTGGATGTCTTGGCATCTCCATTACTGTCCTCAGTCTCCCGGTGGCTTGGGGAGGGAGGCGGAGGCCACAGCTGGATTGGCTCAAGGGGACAGAGCTGGGGCTTGACCCCAAACCCATGCTGTGCCCTCTGTCCCATGGCCTCTCTAGACTAGGACACATGAGGCCCCCAGCAGAGGGCGCTCAGAGTGACTGGTACAACCACCAAGGAGGAGATGAGAGGGCAAAGGAGAGACCCATGCTCCAGCAGCTTCCTCTGTGCCCACAGGGTAGTGACGCAGGAAGGCCAGGCAGTCCAGCGTCCCTGAGGGTGGCCACTCACACCAAGGGAAGCTGGTGGAGACAGATGCCTGGCTTCCTGGGGTATGCTCGTGCACACGCATGCACACACACGCACACACGTGTGTGTGTGTGTGTGTGTGTGTGTGTGTATGGGGGGAGGGTACCACCAAGAGCCTCTGGCCCAGAACCTCCCTCAGCTCTCAGATCGTTGGACCTGCTCCAGGGTGGAGGCTGAATTGTCCCTCTTCCTTCAGGAGCCCCTGATGCCAGGTCCAGATAGTGCCTCCCGCCTGTCCCAGGGCACGTCCTACCCGCAGCAACTGGCTACTGAGTACCCCGTATGTCAGGTGTGAGGCCAGCAGGGGCTGGGTTCACCTGGTAACTGCCCACCACCTGGAATGGCCCCGCTCTGCTGTGGCCACCTCTGGCCCACCCCTCCTCCCAGGACCAAACACGGGCAGCGCATCCCAGACTCACAGCGCGGGTGACCGACAGGAAGCGGTCGTAGCTGATGAGCACGATGTTGAAGACAGAGGACGTGCAGAGCAGATAGTCCACCACCAGCCACAGTTTGCAGAGACCCCGGCTAAAGGGCCAGCGGCCAGTCAGCACGTAGGGCACATAGAGTGGGATGCAGAAGGCCCCTGTGGGAGAAGAGGGCCAGGGTGGGCTATGGCTGGACAGATGTCCGGGGTGAGCCTCACCACAGTGGAGAGACAGGCAGGACTTGGGGGTGCACGGCGGCCACTTTCCTGGGACCAGTAAGCATTACCTTGCCCTCCCCTCCACCCTGTCTCTCAACTTCTACCCTGCCCCTGGCCTTCAACCCCTGCCTAGTTCCAGCCCCACTGGCGTCCCTCGGACTTGGGGTCAGGAGGGAAGATCCCGGGGTGGGGACCTCTGGGCACCATGAGACCCTAAGCCTTGATTTAGGACTTCCAGACTTCTGACCAGTCCTCCCAAGCCCCAGAGGGAGCCCCTCTACCTGCTGGACCCCAGTCCTATCCCAGCCTTTGGATAGCCCTTCCTCATCAGCTCAGAAAACAAGAAAGCCTTTCTCCTGGCTCAAAGGGCATTTGGCTGCCGTCGCGCCAGCCTCTCCCACTGCCACCAATGTCTGGCAGACGCACCTAGCAGCCCCAACAGGTGTCTGGCGCTCCGGCCCCCTCCGCGCGCCCCGCCCCCAAGCCGGCAGCAGCGCGCGGACACGTGAGAGCGCGCTCCTCCGAGCATCTCCCCCACCCCCACCCCGCTTCCCCCACGGCCCCCTCCCCCAACACGGCTCTAAAAACTCCTTTCTCTGTCCCCTCCCCCAAACCTCTCCCAGCGCCCTCCGTACGTCCTGAGTCCGCCGGCAGGCCTTTGTTTGGCTACAGCGCGGGAGCCGGCGCTGCACCCGGGGCTGCTGTGCCTAGCGCCTTGCCAAGCGCCCGCGCGCCCGGACCCGTTCCCGAGGAACATCCCGCCCGCCCCCCTCCCCGTCCCTTGGTGGGGGACGCAAGGAACTTCGTCCGCGCCCACCGCCCCACGGGTCCCGGACGCCCCCTCCCCAAGCAGGGCTCCCCGGCGGGTTGTGTGCCTGAGCAAAAAAGGCACCCTAGTCCACGCTCCGATCCCTGCTCGCCGGGCCGGGCTGGGCACTCCTGGGCTCGGGCGGGGGCTGGGGGCTTTACCCACGAGGAAGTCGGAGATGGCGAGGTTGAGCAGAAAGAAGTTGTTCTGGGTGCGGAGGCTCGAGTCGGCCACGAAAGCGAGCATGACCAGCGCGTTGCCGAGCACCGTGGCCACAATAAGCAGCGCCATGAGCGCAGCCAGCACCGCGGTCCAGGCGGCGGAGAAGCCGCGCGCCCCGCCTGCAGCCGCCGCCTCGCCCGCCAGCGCCCCCGACGCGTTCAGCGGCCCGTCGGGCGGCGTGCGCTCCATGGCCCCGCCGGCTCAGGCGGCGCCGGGGAGCGGGGCAGGGCGCGGATCGCCGGCCGCGCGGCCGGGAGGGGCCCCGGCCCGGGAGCCTGGTGTTTGCGGGCTCTCGGCCCCGCCGGCTTCGCCGGGGGATGCCCGGCGCATGGTCCGCGGGCGCGGAGGCCCGGGACGGGGCCGGGGCGGGCAGCGCCGAGGGGGCCCGGGCCGGAATCCGGGCCGAATGGGGCCAGCGGCACCACCGCTACAGCCCGAGCGGACCTGGAGCGGAGCGGGAGCCCGAGCCGCCGCCAGAGCGCCGGTGCGCCCCGAGTGCTGCGCGCAGCCGAGTGCGCCCCGCGCCCAGCCCGCCGCCCCCCGCGCCCCGCGCAGCGCCCCCGCCATTGGCTGCCGCCCGCGCCCCGCCCCCGCCCCGCCCCCGCCCCGCCCGGCGCCGGCAGCACCACGGACAGCGCCGCGTGCCCGCCGGGCCGCTGGAGCCCCAGCCAGGAGCGCACGGCGGCTGGCGGAGAGCCCGGCCCGAGCGGGCGGGCGCCGGGGCGGGGGGCGCGCCTGCTGCCCGCCGGCCCGCGCACCCAGGAGCCGGTACCTGCGCCGCTAGGCCTGCCCCGTGCCCTCAGCCTCGGTGACCCTGGCCGGCCCTCGTCGGGAGCCGGGGGACTGTGGGGACATGGAATGAGGGGGGGTAGGCCTGCACCTGCGCTCGGGGGAACTTGCCCCGCGAGACCCCTCCTCCTGTCATGCTTCAGGCAAGCGGGTTTCAGGGGAAGGACCGTCCCAAAGAGAAAGGATGGGAGGGGTCTCCGAGAGCGGGAGCCCTGGCCAGGGGTCTGCTCCAGCCCCCATATGCGTGGGACTCGGGGTCTCAGTCTCCCCACGGGCAGGGCCCGACGCAGGGTCTAGGGCGACTTGCAAGGAGCAGACAGTTGTGGAGTTACATAAGGGAAGATCTGGAGCCTGTGGACCCGACCAGGAAGGGAGCACACCCACTTGGGGCGCAGGCGGACCCAGGTTGCGGGGGGAGGGGGGGTAGGCGGGAGGTTCAGAGCCCGGCCATGGGTCCCCTCCCCCCGGCTGACAGCGCAGTGGGGCGGTCACCGCCGCGGGGACAGACGAGGTCACTGCGCTTAGGGCGCAGCCAAGGCAGCTGCTGCGTTAGCGCCTGCAGGAGGGGATGGGGGAGGAGAGGCAGCGGGAGGGAGCACCCCCTCCCCCCACATACAGGCTCAGATAGACGGGGTCAAGGACAGATTCAGCAGGAGACACAGCGAGACAGACAGATGCACCCACACTCAGACACACAGACACCCACAGACCAGGGAACAGCCACCCAGCGTCAGGCTGGGGACCCACCAGCGGCAGTTAGACGCACACACATCAGACAGCAGCCAGCCAGGGAACAGCGCCCGAGGGGAGAAGGGCAGCTACTCTGCTCTGCCTCCAGCGGCGCACATCTGTGGAAGCCTCAAGGAGGACAGAAGTGGGGGAGTCTGCATGGGGGGCGGGGAGGCTGGGGGAAGGGGCTGCTGTCCGGCACCCAAGGCACCTCCATGCGTACAGTAGCCTCCTGATTGTGCAAGGACCCACCCCCTTCCCTAGCCCCAAGAGGTACTTCAGAAACTTTGGGAAGTGGGGGAGACTAGACTCCCTCTAACCCTTCCTTAGGGCTGGTTGCAGCTGGAGACCCCAGACCTTTGCCCTAGTGGACCCACTCTTCCTTGGCTCATGGCGGCAGCCTTTGCTGGAGGGGGAGCGTGGGGATCCAGCTCATCCTCCCAGAAGCCCTCTCTGAGTAACTGGGTCTACTCCTCCCCTCCAGAAGCGAACCCTGTTCCCGCTACAGGCTCCCCAGCTTCCCTTTACCACACCCCAGTGTGCCTGGTGGGCAGGCAGTGCTGGGATCGGGCAGCTGCCTGGTGGTGAGAAAACAAGCCATGCGGGGAGTCTCTGGAGCAGCAGGGTGCTGCTGGACGCCATCGCTCCCATCACCCAAATCGCCTACACCTTCAGTCCTGGGTCAGGACTCACTGTCCCCCATGCTCAACCCGTAGCTCCCTGTTGAGCAACACCCCTGCACAGGCTCTGGTTTTCCCCACGCACTTAAGGCTGGCTTTGGCCAGACAGTACTGTGTGGATTGGATGCCCTTCACCCCTGGACTTGGGAGCTAGAGTTCGGAGGGGATTGAAGGGGGCTCAGGCTCTCTCTCACTAGTTGGGAGCCTCCTTTCCAGCTTCAGTATCCCCATCTCGAAAGGGGGACTATGTTGTTTACCATACAGGATGGATGGGCCAAGTCAAGGGGAAGTCTGTGCAGAGGGCATCCCCTCTGAAGTCTCAGTGAAGCTGCCCATGGTTATCCTTGTGGCTATCAATATTCTGGAGCTTTCCCTGACAGCCTTTGGCCCCACAGCAGCTGGAGGGGGCATGGACTCACTTCGGATCCAGGCACCAGGAGACCAGCTGCCTGATGAAAAGGAGTTATGTGTTTTTTTCTGAATGTGGGGATCTTCCTCCCTAAGTTGAGGCCATAAGGAGAGGGAGAGTCAGTGTTGACCCACAAGTTTGAGGATGACCATGGCCAAGGCTAGTGAGCGCCTCCTATCTTCATTTACATGCATGACCTTCTTAATTCCCATTTACTCTCAAAGGTGGGTAGGATTGGAGGTCCCTTTGTAGGACGAGGAAGCCACCTACCCAAGGTCAAATGAGGCCAGTGGCCCCTCACTTAATGACCACACTCTTGGCCCAGCTCTAAGGTCAGAGTCCCTGAGGCCCACCTTGACCCTGGCTGGACAGAAGCCTGATGTCCTCTGGGCTGGGCCCAATGTGGCCAAGGAATTTTGGGGTGAATGAAGCAGGTCCTCATATGGCTATGCACAGGATATCTTGCCGTAGGGCCTCTGTCCCAAGTAGTAAGTTTCCAGGTACCTGGATGGCAGAGAACCCTCCAAGACCCCGGAAAAGAGTGCTGAGGACTGGGGGACAAGGACAGCCTCCTGTACTGGGCTCACCAAGACCTCACAGAGACAGTGGCCTGGGACCCCAGTTTCTCTATTTGTTGAAATAGCTGGCATTCGGTGCACCAAATGTCCAGTCCAACAGAGAGACCATTGAGCAAATGCCCCAATCACACACTCTCTAGTCAGGTTAGCAAAACCAGACCTCCCCACAAACCGCTCACAGAGGTTCACCCACTGACTGATTAATTTGTTCATTCATCTGTGTGACATGGTTTAATTGAGCACCTACTATGTCTCAGGCACTACGCTAAGTTGTCAACGGAGGAAGGCAAACACCACGCAGTAAAGAAGCCAGACATATGTCCACTGGTTATAAGAAATGAAGCAAGGCCGGGGACAGAGAATGCCAGGACACAGGGCTTGGTTCCCTGTGGGGCATGCCACTCAGCTCTCCTGTCAAGAGAGTAGGCAGGGGCAGGACTGTTTGGATCTGCTGCTGAGTTGAAGCTGAGGTGAGGCACGTGCTCCCCAGTGCGTGGGGCTTCCAGCGCCTGGTGGGATGTGCGGCGTGAGTCGGAATGTGGCCCCGACAGAACAGCTACAGATTCCGTGGCACTGCCCAAAGTGTGGGGGGCCCGGGCAGGGGCCTGACCCATCAGGGTTGCAAGTGGAGACAAGGGCTCTGGGCTGAAGCCCTAGTGGATGGACAAGGGACCATGGGCACCAGTGTGAAGGGTTTCGTATCCCCAGAAATGGCATGACAGCCGTTTTGGACAGCCTTCCCAAGCACAGCGGCAGGGCAGTGCCCGCGAGGATGGGTGCCGTCCCTCACGATGCAGTGTCACGAGTCAGAGAGTTTTACATGGCACTACGCTTCCAACGGGAAGAGAATGAGCATCCTGACCCCAGTGGCCCACTGAAGAATCAATGTCCCCCCGCCCCTGGGGCCCTGTTACAGGCCCCTCCCCCACAGGGCTCACTCTCACTGGGAGGCATGGGAAGGAGCCCGCCGAACCAGCTTCTGCTGCCTCCCCGGCATTTTGAGCCCCAGAGCCCAGAGAGGAGCAGACAGCGGGAGTCACAGCCAAGCCAGCAGGAGCAGGTGGGGCTGCTGGTACTTCCAGTGGCCCAGGGTGGGGGTACGGGACACGTGTGGCATTCAGGAGCCTCCCGGCACTGTGGTGCCTACCACGTACCGTTACGTGCTGGACAGCGCACCTAGCCCAGCCTGAGGAGGCACGGCAACCGGGGGCTCAGTCCCTCAGGAGTGGGGATGGGGGTCATCCCCAGGGAGGCCCCCATGACCTGCAGAGGTGACAGCAGAGGCGGGGTGCGGCTGGGAGGCAGAGGAGGGAAGGAAGGAGCAGCAGCTGAGCCCCGAGAGCAGCTGTAGTGATGGGGCTGGTGTGCCTACCCCCCTGTCGGCGATCTCCCCCCAGGAAGCGCGGCTGGGGCACCCCGGAGGAGCCCCCACGTGCAGGGGAGACCAGCTGCAGCACAAGGAGCGGCCCTGCTCAGAGAGAATGAGGAGGCTGGTGTCACGGCCCTGGCTGCCACGAGCAGGGGGAACCAAGGGGTGGTCTGCGCTCCGGGCTCCCATGGGATGGGTTGAGACTGTCAAAGGTGCCCCGTGTCTGCCCCCCTTTCCTACCCACCCGCCCTCCTGCGCCTCCCCCTGCACGGGCGTCAGACCTGCACTGCGGGGTGGGAGCTCCTCCCTGCTCCCTTTCCCTTTATCTTCTGCCTGTGCCCTCAATCATCTCACGACCCTGAACCCCATCTCGGTGTCCGCCCCCTGGAGAACACAAGCCGACACGGGCCAGGTTCCAACGTTGAAAGGCCGGTCAGTGTGTGTCCCCTGTGAAGGGGACCCTTGAGCAAAGATGCACAGGAGGGAGGGGGATCGGGTGGGGGGTCTGGACGGAGCAGTGTTCTGGGCAGAGGGGAGCTCGGGAGGAGTGGGAGTGTGTGTCTGTGGGTGCAGCACAGAGGAAGGGGAGGCTGTGGGGAGAGCTCCCGTGCTGCCTCCAGCCGCGGTGAGGATGCTGAGGGAGAGCCCCAGGATGGCTGGGGGAGACACTGTGACAGCACCCCTGCTTCAGTGCAGAGTGCCTGACCGGGCTGAGGGCAGAGACCAAGGGGCAGGGTGCTCCCTTGAGGGCGATGCTGGCCAGGCAGGGGCGTGGCCATGGAGGTGGAAGCCCTGGCCAGATTCTGGGTGTCTTTGAAGCTGACCCCATGACGTGGGTGACAGAAGGGTGGAGGTCAAGGCTGACTTGAGGGTTTGAGTTCTGGTGGCTCAGAGGAGGGTGCTGCACCCGCGAGCCCGGACTGTGCAGGAAAAGCAGGTTGGGGGACAGTGGGGT